GCGGGGCCTTGCTCTGAACCGGGGAGCGGGGTGTCGCGGCCGAGTCTTCCCTCCCAAGCCCCTAATGGTCCCCCACCCCGTGGCAAACTCACCCATTTCTCCCCAGACACCAGCCAAATTGCGGGGAGGGAGGGAGGGAAGGCCAGCCAAGCACCGTGGGGTACCCGGTGCAGGACCCCACGGTGACCCCCTCACCTCTCCTTGGTGCCCCACAGCTGTGCAGCACGAGCGGGGCCCCCGGACGTCGACTATACGGAAGCAGGTGGCCCTCTACTTCCGCGGGCACAAGGAGGAGAGCGGCGGTGCCCCCCACTTCCCCGCCGCCGCCCTGCCGGCCCCTGCCTTCTTCACCGCCGTCTCCCAGCTGGAGCCCCACAGCCTGGAACTGGCCGCCGTCGCCAGCACCCCTGAGAGGCAGGCTCTGGTGGGCCTGGCGCAGCCCACCCCAAAGGTCAGCCACTGCCCCGGCCCCTGGCAGGCCCACAGACCCCACTGATGGGGTGTCTGCAACCCGCCAGGTCCTTTCTCCCTCTGGGGTAGACATGGCAAGGCTTGAGGCCTTGTGGGTTGTGGTGGGAACTCTCTTGTTATGTCCCTAAAAGCTCTGAAGATACAAGGTGCAAGGGGTAAGAGGCCCTCTGCAGAAGAGGGCTGCTCCATACAGACCCTAATCTCTCTCTCTCTTCTACATCCTCACACCCTCATGGTTGCAGAAGTGCTCCTCCTGCCTGGAGCCCATCCAGAAGTCAATTTTAGACCTTCTTTCATGAGGATGAGCTGCAATCACTGACTTTTCTTCAGCAAAATGCCCATCTCCATAGTGGTGTAGTCCAGAAAGTACTATCTGTGCTGACCAAAGCCTGCAGCTCATCCACACAGACACAAAGATTTCTAAGCTGGCTCTGTGCTTCTTGGCTGTGATACTTCCTAAGCAGCCCAGCAGAAGTGCTGCTGTGGCCTCAACTGCATAGGAATTAGCCATAAGGTGATGTTTTTCATTAACCCATTTGCAACGGCATTTTGCATATTTACAGCAGCTAGAAAATCAAAGAAGAGACAACTTAAATAGTTCTGCATTTTCAGAGCTAGCATCTTGGGAGGATCCATCATGAACATGATCACAACATACGGGTTTTTATTATAATTTTGGAAAATCCTGAATCAGGAATTATTTAGCAAGAAAAACATAGCACACACTTGAAAATGTAAGTCCATTCCATCTAGCCTGTTACAGTCTGGGAGCTAGATGAAGGTTAAGGCTAAACGAGTATTTACAGTTTTTCTGAGCAAGGCTGAAGGGCTAAATCAGCTTCCAGGGCACAGGCTACAAACCACAAATTCTTAATCAAATTTGTCTTCTTTTAACTCTGCTACCAGAGGTGTGCTTTCGTGTAACGGGGTAAAGAATGACACTGCAGTTTGATAAATATTTCCCCTGATGTAATAATTTAATTCTCCCTTCAACCTCCTCTGGAGAAGTGTTTCCCTAGCACAGTTCATCCACATGGATGAGCAGCAGCGAGCCGTCTGGAGTGGGCCCACTGAAAGCAATGCCCTCTGCTTGCAGAATAAGAGAGTGCACACTCTGTATTGGGCACGAGTACGATGGAATGAACGGCAGCTGTAGGGAAGGGAAAGACCAGGCTGCTTTGGTGACACTGTATGAAGTTGCTTTATTTCCTTTTTGACATTAGTACCCACATGAAGTCAACGGTACCCCTATGTATCTCTACGAAGTGGCCACCGAATCCGTCTGCGAGTCAGCAGCCAGACTTCTGTTCATGAGCATCAAGTGGGCCAAGAGCGTCCCAGCCTTCTCCACCTTGTCCTTACAAGACCAGGTAAGGTGCCTGCGGTGGGAGTGGCATTGGCCTGGTCTGCCTGGTAAAGAATGCTTGGAGCTCAGATTGAGTCCTGAACCTTCAGCCCTACGCCTTTTAATCTGTAACGGACTTCAGCCGTTCAGAAATTCAGTGCCGAGTTTTTGTCTGTCCCTAAAAAATAGATTTAGAAACTGCTTTGCTCCAACTGTTATTTCATGAAGCAAAGGTATTTATAATCTAATATAAAGCAAATATTATGGGAGGACAAGCTCTAGAGGAAAAGTCACCAGGCTGCAGACCAGGCTCAGCATGTCAAAACTGCTTGTGGGACAACTTTCCTCTGCATAAAATGGGGAACAGCATCTTACTTCGTTATTTTGGGATGAGAAGTGCTTAGTTAAGCACATGGTCTCAGGATACAACTGAGGTGATTTCTGAAAACCATTCCTCTCCTCTCCTCTCCTCTCCTCTCCGTTTACACTGGCAAAATCTTTTCTTATTCATGTTGGCTTCAGTGAACTTACATTACAATTACACCAATACAGTGGAAGCAGAATTTGGCCAGCCCCCAATATTTTTCACCATTAATTACAATCTTCCTTAATTTGTCTTGTTTTCCTCTCTGACAATTTGCCTTTGCCTCAGGTAAATCATATGTGAACCATATGAGCTGAAGCAATTTCTTAATGACTTGATTCTTGATGAGGACTCAGTGTGCTTTGTATAATGCACTAATTTTTAAAAAAAGTAATCAGATAATTGTAAAATGGAAGGGGAGAAATCTACGCAAAGCTCCAATCATAAAAGATGTCTAATACTTTGATATGATTGAGCTAATTTCCCCAAATGGTAACTAGAAACGTTGTGCCTTAGATGTTACACAGCAGTCAGCAGGGGAACTGGTTCCCTTCCACGGGTGCACGTTGCAAGCATGGCAGTTGATATGCAAATACATATTTTGAACTCAAAGAGAAAAAAACTTCTTAGGAAACCAATAGCATTTTCTACCAGCTCTGTCATACTAAGCAACCATAGCAATAAGCCTAAATATTAGGGGCCACAGCAAGTGTGCCATTTCAGCAGGAGCCTCAGCGCGCGGGAGGAGGCTGGGCTTCTCTAGACCAGGGAGGTCCACGGGAGGGTCATTAGGCAAAGGCTTTATTTGACATAAAATGGATGCATTTCCCACAAGGTCTTCTCTGTCAGTGTGCAGAGGAGGGGGCAGCAGGATATGGGAGGAAGGGAAGTCTCATTGCACATGATCAAGCACATCTGAGACAGCACAGGTACCAGGGTGTTCCCACTGTCTTTAAATAACCCACTGCCTCTTCCACTTTCACATCAGGGACTAACGTTAGTGAATCAGATATTAAAATCCCAGCTTTTGCTTAACATCCCCTTGACTTGCTGTACCTCAATGCAAGCCAGCTTCCTCAAAACTCAGAGCTGCTCAGCTCTAAAGCTTTGACCTGGGCCTCTTTCTACATGATTCCCCGTCATATTCAGGAGAGCTAGAGAAGAAATAACTCTGATTTTAATCACCTTATTTCATGAATAATCAGGCAGTTGCTTTTTTTATAATAATGCCATTGCATTATTTAATTTGAAAATGGCCCAGCTGAAAATGTCTGCATTTCGCTTTTTGTGTCCCTGATACCTGCCTGAGAAGAGTCTAAATCCTTTTCCTGGATTTTGCTTTTGTTTGGACTCTTCCGAAAAGGCAAGCCCATCGTGATTCCAGGACTCTATGACAGTTTCATCTAGAAGGCAAGGAAATAAGTAGAAACCAATTTGCTGACAAAACACAAGTCTGGGGATTGCTGTGTTACCCCCTTCAGTAAAACAGAGGCTGTGTTCCTTCCCCAGCTCCACAAGGCAATTCTCATTGTGGGTTGGAAGCCACACAACACAAATGCCATGCTTGAAATTCTGCTGGCCCGAACACCTGCCCACCTTGTCCGTAAAACAGGTTGGCTCAACAAAAGGTCACACCTACAGGATGGGGTCAATTAAGAAGCAAAAACCAGTCCTTCAGAAATCCTGGTGTTTCTTGTTTCTTTGAAGAAGGAGGGCTGAGTATGACTTCAGCATGAATTATTTTAATTGATGGTTTTACAGACTTATGCATAGGCATGAAGAAAGCTTCAGCTACTGGAATAGTCTCTTGTTTCTAAAGTCTTCTGACTTTAAAGACTTAGTGGGAAAGAACATATGAAATTGATATCTTCCAGGAAGCACCATTCATTACCATTGTATCTGCATGAATGAATTACAAAAAAAGTTCTACAAAAGCAAATGAAAGGCTGGCGAATCATTTCCTATGTCATACAGAATCCTGCACAGCCATCAGGCAGGATTATCCAGAGAAGGGGCTGGGTTCACAGGCTGCAGTGCTTAGGAGGCTCACAAGCAGTTTCAGCCACTCTCAGAACGGATCTGAGATGGGTGCTGCACCCCAGATCCCCTTCCATATTACAGACAAAAATCTGGGCAGCTTCCAGTACTGTAAAATCCAATGTAGTTACTTCAAACAGTAACTACATGCAAACAGAGACATAAATACTTTCCCATCACGATTTCCCTAGTCAAGTTATATAGAAGTTCTGCAAAGCACATAGCACAAAAAAGGCACAAAATGGGCACAAGCCTGTGGCAATAAGCTGAGAGCAGAGACTCTCAGAGCTCTGCCTCCCATTCCAATTGCAACAGTGCAGTTCATAATACTGCTATGAGTTAGCACACAGATAAAGGATTCACTCTTACTGCATGCTTTCTGTATCATCCATTACTTTCACACCTCTGATTCCAAGGAAATCAAAATTCATTTGGTAAAAAGTATTTTTTTTACTTTGTTCTTCATTTTATAGAATATTTATAGACTTAAAATATGCTCCTTCCTATTATTCTAAGAAGCTACGCTGCTGATACGTTTAGGGACCATGGCAATATTAACACTTGTGGTTTGCTTTTTTTTTTTCTGCATAAGTTTTGGGCAATCTGTTTTCACTGCATGGAGCCATGAGATGATTTCTCCTGAGTCCACTGCAGTTCTCACCCTTCCAAATCTCTCCCACCCTATTGAGAGACAGGAAGTCCCAGCAACGTACACACACCACATCATGTCTCTTAGGCCATGAACTTCAGCTGAACCGGGGGCCCTCCAAGCCCCTCTTGAGAGCTGGTCTGGGCCAACAATCCATAAATGCCCTGAAGATGAAACATGCCAGTCTGCAGTCCCAGGAGCCGTGCCTCTGCTGCAGACACACCACTGCCTCTCCACGGAAACCAAAGGCATTGCCTCCAAACAGAAAAAAACACATCCTCCAGAAAACAGGGCAACGCACAGAAATCGCTTGCAAAGAACTAGCAACGCTGTCGGTGTGGGTGCTCACACACTCAGTTCTCTGAAAGGAAATAGCTCTCAGGGCCTGGAATTTCTGAGTGATTTCAAGCAAAAAGCAAGAAAAGAGGTGACACCGAGAAACCGTATGTGTCTCCAGATGGCTTGAAAGAGCCAAAGGCTTGGAAGAGCTTAGTAAGGAAGGGGTTAAAGATAAATACGTGCTCTAAAGTAGTGCTCCCTACTGAGTGATGTAATTTCAGGATGTGTTCCAGGTTTTTCTTCACAAATCCTGCCTTTCCGAGAGAAAGGAGGGTAATCCCTAGAGAGCAATAGGAGAGCACTCTTCCAACTTGTCCTAGGACATCTCTAAGTGGCCAAGGAGAGGAGGGGACAGCCCATGCTGGGCTGAGAAACACAGGGGAGCGTTCATGTTGCGTGCAAGCTCTCTGGGGCGGGAGTTCTCACTTTCCTTTCTCTTTTTCTCATCCCTTTTGGTCCACAACATGATGCACAGTGAGCCAACCCTCACTGCTTTTCTACAATGCGTAGACTTATTTCTAGACACCTTCTCAAAAAGCTAAGAGAAGAGCTAACGAATGCTGTGGGGAAAATACCATGACAGGCATTTAAAGTGGTTTTTAAAATAACAGAAATTTACATATTTAAATTGTTTATAAATCTATAAATTATACACTATGTTATATTGTACATCTATTGTATGACAGCTGATGCTTTTGGAAGATGCTTGGAGAGAACTGTTTGTTCTAGGAATAGCACAATGGGCCATTCCAGTTGATGCTAACACTCTACTGGCTGTATCTGGTAAGAATTGCACAATTTAATGACTTTGTTACAAAAATTACCATAAAAATACATTACTGAAAAAAGAACAACATGTAAAGAATAACAAATTCCTACTGAACAATAGAGCATACCTGTCATTTATAAATCTATATTTAAATGCAAATAATGTTGTTTTGTTGTATTCATGACTGCTTGCATTGTCATTTAAATGCAAATTACTGTGTTTGTTATCATCCAAGAGAAGATTTTATATTAACTTTCATACAATATAGTCAGTTTACATGGAACCAGATAGACAAGTGTGACAATAGAGTGGATATTGATACAGAGGATTTTGTCAGAAATCAATATAAAATAAAGCAAATGCCTTTAATATTATTTATTTCTTCTGTTTTAGGCATGAATGGTGACAATACAGATTCTCAGAAGCTGAATAAAATTATTTCAGAAATACAGGCTTTACAGGAGGTTGTGGCTAGATTTAGACAACTTCGGCTAGATGCTACCGAATTTGCCTGTCTCAAATGCATTGTCACTTTTAAAGCCGGTAAGCAGAAAGAATCTCTTGCCTGTCTGGTCTGGTAACTATCAGGTCACTACTTTAAAGCAAAAATGATGTTTTGAATCAGATATAGCTTTATATCAGCCAACAGGTTTCCTGGTATTGAATTCCAATAGCCAGTATTGCATTTTGAAAGGCTGACAGTTGAGTGCTGGGGAGCTAACGGGAACATTTAATTTCCATTAATAGCCTTAGCTGAACTCTTTTGACCCACCCCAGAGTCAAGCTGAACTAGTAACTGATCTGCTTTCCAGTGCCTACACACAGTGGTTCCGAACTGAGGAGTTTCCGAAACGCTGCCGCCATTGCAGCCCTTCAAGATGAAGCCCAGCTCACTCTGAACAGCTACATTCATACCAGGTGAGCAGGGGCTTCTCTCAATACTTCTTGCAGGTGCAGTGAAGGTGACATTTCCACTGACTGAAAGGGGGATTGGGCTGTTACAGCAAGTATACGCTGGCTGTCAGCCTGCTGGGATTTGGCATTTCCCGATGAAAGGGAATCATAGAAAAGGTTGGAAAAGTCATCTAACCTAACCCTACCAAGTCCACCACCAAACCATGTCCCTACCCATCTTTTAAACACCTGCAGGGATGGCAAATCAACCACGTCCCTGGGCAGCCTGTTCCTGTGTTTGATAACCCTTTCGGTGAAGAAATTTTTCCTAATATCCAATCCAAACCTCCCCTGGCACAACTTGAGATAATTTCCTCTTGTTTTATCACCTGTCACTTGGGAGAAGAGACTGACCCCCCACCTTACTACAACCTCCTTTCAGGTAGCTGTAGAGAGCAATAAGGCCTCCCCTCAGCCTTCTTCTCTCCAGGACTGAACAACCCCAGCTCCCTCAGCTGCTCCTCATCAGACTTGTGCTCTAGACCCCTCACCAGCTTCAATGCCCTTCTCTATTGCTCCAGCACCTCAATTTATTTAGAAAAATGGAAAAGCACTAAAAGGAGAGATCTTCCCCCAGGAAGCGATACCTGCTGTGGAATGTTTTGCATTTCAGAAGGCTAGATTTTCCTCTACATTTTATTCAATTAAATACTGCTAATAGATATGCTTAAAATATCATCACATCTCTCAGCAGGATGAGCGCTTCTCACCTAGGATCTCCAATCCCTATGTCATTTCCTTGATTTTGCAGACACAGAAATTGGGACACAAGGAAGTAAAATGACTCTTCCAAGATGCTCCCAGAGTCTGTTCTCAGGTTGAAATAAAAGGCCCAGAACTTGCGAATGTCATTTTGGTGCCACAGCAGAGTGATGAGAATCATTGTTTGGGATGAAAGTATTTCCCCCGTCTCATTCAGGATAAGCAGAGGTTTGAGACTCACACTGGTATAACATCAGTGTAAGCACAACTAGAATACGTCTCCTATGTTGTGTTGGCTTCAAAAGCTGGGAGAAAGGATGGAAAGTAGCCTATTACCCAAATATATTTCCTGGGCATAAAACACAGCTTCTCTAATACAAAAATTCTTTCCAAATGTGAATTGGTATTCAACGTATAAGACAATCAAAAGGGGGCAAATTGATTACCATGACAATCCAGCTAGGTTTAAATTGCACTTTAAATGACAGGGTATTATTGTAGGTCAAGCTCTTCCCTAAACTGCATCAAGAACACAGTTGTTGTCTGAGGGACAAGTCAGAGCAGATCCTGTCTCTGTATTACTACAGTTCTGAGGGAATAAACAAAGGAGCTAATCAAAACTCAGAAACATTGGTCTATATTTTGCTAATCTCTGTTAAGAGTTCCTTGGGATCAACCTTCTTGCTCATGTGAGTACAAAAACACTGGGTTTAGCAGCGGTCGCACCCATCTGAAAAATTTGCTGAATATTGGTCAATTTCTCTATAGCAAAAGATTTTCTTCGCAAAAATATCTAAAAATTTCAACAAGTTTTTCTCTCTCTGTCTCCCAGGTACCCCACACAACCCTGTCGTTTTGGAAAACTTTTATTGCTTTTACCAGCTTTACGTTCGATTAGTCCATCTACGATAGAAGAAGTGTTTTTCAAAAAGACCATTGGGAATGTACCAATTACAAGACTGCTTTCAGATATGTACAAATCCAGCGACATATAAATCACCTTAAAATAAACAATCAGGATGGACAGTTTGAGAAGAACTTTTATCTATGGAGAATAAGCCTCAACTAACAAAATCTACAGGAAGCATAAGCCTGGGAATGTTTAGCCTTTAAACCCATTGACAAAAAATACCCCAGTAGATATGATTCTGCTGCTCTGAACAGAGTGATTTAGATCATGGAGAGAATGCTTTGTTCTACAGAAAAAGTGAAAGTGGTTGGAATTTGGCTGCTATTCCTGTTACTACAGGATGGAGGCAATTCAGATGCCAGTCATAGTTAACAAAGACTCCGCTATTCTCCCATTTAACTGGCAGATCTGAGACAAAATGTGAAAGAAGGTACTTTAGTTTGTTCAGTATTTGGAACCGGGTGACCAAACTTGGCTTCTGTTGTAACAGGAGATGCGGTGGCCTTCAGAACTGTTTTAAAAGTAGCCTATGTTGGGAAAATGTTTGTAATACGATAGGCAACATTTAAGACCAGGTTACCAAAACAATTGCTTCTGCTATAATACGTCATGAAGTGGCCTTCAGAACTGATTAAAAAGTAGCTTATGACGGCAGCTCCATTCTTCCTGCAGAACAAACTGGTGATCTTTGATGCCGATGTCACCACAATTTGTTCGGTTAACATCTCAAAGACAGAAGAGCTTTACACACTTCCTCCCCGACCTTCCCTCCTCCTCCTCCTTCCACACACGCAGACACACATTCTCACACACACACACCTGAAAAGATACAAGTCAAGAAAGGAAGACTGAAACAGCAAAACCAAATACAATGGAGATGAGCGCGCCAGCAACCCGCTGGCAGTCCCGGTGGCACAGTGCTGAAACCAAAGGCAACGGTGGCCAAACTCTTTGTCAATGAGATGTGCAGAGAAGTGAAATGACTATTAAAAAAATAAATAAAATTTAAAAAATCAACGGAAGGAATTTTATTTCCAAGAAATAAGGGTTGTTGACTGATACAATGCTAACAATTTCGAAAAGTCTCCAATGCCTTTTTAGAAAACTCCAGGTTCTAATTTTGAAGCCTTGTTCGCCTACACCCTCTCACACACAAAAACGTTATAAGCTGCTTATTTGATGTATGAAAAATGTAGGAAAAAAACATTTAAAGATAGCTGCTGTACTTTTCAAAATTTGATTTGTTATTAGGAACTAGCACTGAGAAAAATCAGCACTTGGACTATCATAGAATGAGTAAAACTTTCCCTGTACAAAGTGGATTAACTGATTTGTGAAGTTAAAAAGTTGTACTCATTGTATTTACAAAGAATAAAAATATATTGAATTTAAATTACTTTCTGCTGTTCTTTTAATGCTTGTCCTTCTATTTCTGGATTAGTTCTTCCACTGTACCACGCTCACCAGGGAACAGAAATATCCTCTGCTAAAATGAATTGCCTTGGATGCTGTGGAGTCTCCACCACCAGAGGTTTAAAACACATGTTCGACAAACATTTAATATGTTCGGTGATCCTGCCTTGGGGCAAAGGGATTTTGAGGTCCTACATAGAGCTGTTTCCTATAATTCAAATATACACCAGCTCAAGGAGCTGACACACAACTTTTTCTATGACACTGTACTAAATGGATCAGAGGTTTAACCTAGTATGTCTTCCATTTCATGTAATTACAATTTTTAATATCAGTGAATTGTGCAGCTAATGAAGGGTGATGAGTACAAAAACACTGCTTCAATTAAAAAGATTCTGAGGTTTTATTAAGGTGTCCAATTGTGTAATCACACCAAAGAGGAAAGCAACTCCCAATGCAGAGGAACAAGTTGGCAGGAGGAGAAGGAAAACAGAAGACATGATTCATGTGGCAAAGAGCGACCGAAGAGCCACGCACACTAAAATGACAGGTTGAAATGTAGCATATATCAATGGCTCATTGGTTTTTGGTGTCAAGGAACACAGATCACAAGTGAAATCCTAGATCTATTGACTCCAAGCACAAAAATCTCACACATTTCAGAGGTCAAAGTTTTCACCCCATCTCTCTTCCATTTGTGCAGTTCGCTAGGTCTCACGTCCTGTCCTTTCCAAGACAGCCAGACCACAAAGTATCCGCGACCAGTCTTCAGATGAGTCAGGTGAGACAAAACAAGGACTTTGAAACATCTTCTACACAAACCACTGTAGAGCACTTGAGAATGCGTTTACCACAAGGCATAACACATTCTTAGAAAGAAAACAACAACACTTTATGAAGCTTTTTCACTGCATCTGTAACAGCCTTCAACCATTTCCAGCTGTCTACACTAAGAAAAACTGGACAGGGCAGAAAATCAATTCTGGCTCTCCACTCTGTGATAATTCTGTTCATGAGCTAACGAAGTTGAGCCCAGTGCTGTGCAAAACCCATGACAGAACACTCATTTCAATAGATTCAATAAGATTCCTGCTGCTGTCCCGGAGCAGCAATAAACACAAACTGCACCCACGCTGCAAGGCAGCCGCACTCTGTCCCAGTCCCTACATCATCCAGGCCAGAGGATGCAGTGGAATGTACTGTCTTTCTCCCACTTGCAAAGCAGGCAGGGCAATGAGTGCACATCCATATCTCATCCTCTTACCCCCAGGACCTAGCCCAGCTGCAGAGCAGACTCACAAGCTGGGAACAATTCCCAGATCCCTGTGGTTTGGACACAGCCAACCTCAGACCACGTCTTCCCCCCAGTGCTGCAGATTGCTCAGAACCAGTTACACTACGCTAGAATTAGGGTCTCTATAGTTAGCCTTGAGGGACTGAAGGCCAGTGAAATCCCAGAGTCCAGTGCAGATGTCCTGTCAATCTCAGAGGTTAACACTACACAGTCCTCACTTTGGAACTAGGAATATACTTGGACATCAAGCATGAAGCTTCTTTCTCTTCAGCTTATTTCCACAGCTGATGATACAAATAATATCATCATCTTTTAAGGATAAGATGGGGCATTTATTTAAATTTTTGAAAGAAGCTTCTCTCAGAAAATAAAATTTGAGAAAAGCATCCTTTACTATGTATTTAAGCCTAAGTAACAAAAGTTCATATACATTTATCCCTTCTTCCCCCATTTCCAAGAGTAATTCAACTTTTAAGTGTGATTCAACAAGCACAGGGAATTTTAGAATTGATTTTACATTATCAAAAAATTCTTGAATAGCTAGACAGCTGCAAGTGGGCTGTGTCAGTTTTGGTCCCTGGTTTCATTAATAGGACTTTTGAAGAGACTCAATGCAGTCTTTGTTAAGTATGAGGGGGAAAGAACAATTATTTGAGCATCTAACTAATCAGCATAGCTAGTCACTAGCACTACACATAATCTTGTCAGCCACCACTGTTGTCAGCTCACTCTTTTACATCCCGATTTCCATAAATGACAGTAATAGTTTTATTTAAAGGAAACTAATAACTTTGCCTGTAAGTTTGTAGGAATTTCTCAACAGTCATAAGTAGTATTATAAGAAGGAAAAACCAGTAGAGCCAAGCCTAAGCCAACATGTACTGTTACCAAATAGCACAGAACACAGATTGCTACTAGGGTGTTCTTGAATCTGTTTTTAAGAGCATCTGGACAGGTAACTCCCATGTCACATCCGGAAGTACTGTGGAAGCTTCTCCAGCCACAGAAACATCTAGCAAGAAAGATGACTTCAGCAGTGTTGCTCGTGAACTGCAGTTCAGGCATCAACCACCTGCACTTCACCAGCTGTCATACAAGCACAATGCTACAGCCTCCTCCTCCTTTGATGTTCAGGGAAGTAGTCTACATCACATCTGACAGCTGGCTTGTATGACTTCACATACCTAATTGTATTTGTAGAGTAGAACTACTTTAACCTTCTAACATATTATCAACACTCCTTGCTCTGTAGGATGGTATAATTTTCACTTGCTAGTTGATGCTAGACTGAGGCTTCTCATGACAAGTAGAAAGGGACTCTTTTCCCAAATCCCTTGATCATTGAGTGCCAGCATCTAAGGATATTTAGTGGTGGCTGTTAGTAACACAAGACTATATTGCAGAAGAGAGTCACAGCAAGGCTGAACACCAGTTCACTTAGTATAGTCAAGTCCCTGCTTGTCAGAAAGCACAAGATACCCCACACTCAAGGTCAAGAGTGACAAAACATTTGAAGTGCATTTTCACTTTTATTTCAAAACTTTAGACAAGTTACTTTTGTATATAAATTTGATTTTTTTCCTCTTACAGAATATAAAGATAATTCCCTCATTACTTCAGTATAAAGTGTTTTACAAGCTTGAAGACAATTGCATAAGTGTTTCTCACACAGGGTATCAGAAATAAAGCAGTCTTTCTACAGAAGTTCAGACAGATTACTACCTCAGAAACAGCAGAGCAGTTTAGTCAAATACAAGTGAACACGTGACACTACAACTGTGCAAGTTCAAGTAAGGCCAAGTCAGTAAACATTGTTAAGTCATTGCAAATAAGTGGAAAGGTTTGTGAGACATTGCAAGGGGTGGATGGTCTCATAGTATAATACTCTTAAATCAAGGAGTCAGAGGGATTCAGCAAGAAGACAAGTGAGTTCTTTAATGCTATAAAGCATATGCAAAGACCAAGCAGTGTACTGATGTTAGTGGAGACTTCGTGCCTGTTTATCCTCAGCATGCTAAGACAAACTACAACCTCTTAAAACCAAGCATAAGAACCACTAATGTTTGAGAAGATGCTTGCAGAACTCAAGTATGTCTTATTTTGGATGGTGTGTAGTTTTTGTCTATTACTTCATCTTGTAAGAACATGTGAAGACAGCGCTCGTTCTGTGCCAGTGGGTGGCCTGCAACCCTGGGGAGAGGGAAAAACAAGCATTAGTGCTAACAAATCGAGTCTACTTGCAGCTAGCCAGCAGAGCAAGGTTTTATACCAATAACCTATGGTTCTCCACTTAGGCACAGATCCCACTTCCAGTTCACTGCTGGCGACTAGAATGATGCCTGGCACCAAAATCTGTCATTCTCTCCCAGATGGAGTTAGTCCATAGCTACCTCTGATGATCTGGAAGCATGTAATGTCATCATCTGTCACCTGCAATTGAGGGGGACTACTAAAGTCCCCATCCTAGCATTACAAAATGTAGAGTTAATCAAGACAAGGCAGCTTAACCCCTCATTTCTCAATCTAATGCAGTAGCAGTTAGCCCAGGCAGAGTTAAAAACTTACTCCACCAGAGGGTGTGAAGGTCTTCTGAAGGCTCTGACACTGTGACTTAACCACGGTCACTATTCCTAGCATGTAACAAGCAGCACTGATGCACAGCCAGAGGGTACTGGCCATTCTGTTAACTGCAATTGTCTTTAGATTTTATATCTAGGATATATAGGAGACAGCTTGTCTACTCTAGACGAGACCAGCACCTCTACTGCAGATTTAGTTGTGTTCCACATATAGACTGAACTACCACCCTTTTAACAGTAAAGCAGCTGAAATTGACTTAGAAAACACTGCCGGGCTTGGAAGAAAATCACAAGGTATTGCCTTTAAGCCCTGAAAATACCATGCAGCCTTCTGTGTAGGTAAAAATCCAAGAGAATCAAAATCTCTGGAAGTTGATCACTTGTGGATACAAAAACCTAAAGCAGTTTGGTTTGAAAAAAAAAATTTACATCCAGTTTGGTCCATCAAGACAGGCTTCTCCCTTTAAGAGAGAAAGTCCCCCATCCTCCTGAAGACAGCTTGTGTCAGTCTTATGGCCTCTATACCTGTCAGAACACTTCTACTCTAAATGGAAGTTATATAGTTGAACACGTTAGAGTCAACTCCAGTGGTTCAGCATCAGTACTTCCAAGTACTTCTGTGCATCTTCTCCAAATGTATCTATTAGTGCTTATTTCACCACAGATTCACCTGTCACTTGTCACTGAGTGTCTTTTAATAAGGACGCTGAGCTCTCCTATTCAGCATTGATAGATTATTTCAAGTGCAGTCATTAAGATTATCAGTCTTGCCAGGCTCTGGTAAATGGGCAGCAGTCTCAAATGCTAGTTCATAAGGCAGACAGTCTGGAATAACTAGTTTGAGACTCTTAGCCTCATGAGACTGAAGTTGCCGGTCTTGAACTTCAAGAGGAAGATACACAGGACACAAGGCAGCAGCATATTCCTTCTTCCTTTCAGGAAGACTTGCAAATTGGTGGCTGAATTGCAGGACTAAATCTGATCTCTCAGATTCAGCTCTTGGTTTCACATGAATCTCTCACTCTGCATCAGCTTTTTCCTCAGTATTCTTCTGTAAGGTGAGCCTTACACAGAGCAGCTGCTACTAAAAGCCCAAAGTCACATTCAGGCAGACAAGTGTGTTGCAATGTAGCTGTGAATGTCATTGTAGGTAACATTGATGGTGGTGCCAGCAAGCTGGCCCAAAAGAGCTGACTCAAGCAAACTGCGCTGCTGTGATTTTGCTTCTCTACAGCATCCTTGGTATCAAGAACTGGCATTGGTGCATGAAGATCTTTTTTGGATATAGTGATATTAGTTATCTAGTTCTAGGAGCAAAGACCAGCTTCGAGAATGCAGTAATGTGAATGCATTATACAAATTAACCTCAGGACTAATTTCACTGTTACCTAGAATACTTAGTAGAAGTCTTAAAGCTTCTACATGATTCAAAACTAACTAGTAACATTTGCTTGATGAGTTGGTCATACCATTAGAATAAATTGATGCGGTTGAATAGCTAGGAGTTCTGCCTGAATAATCTTGTTCCAGCTGTACTCAAGTCTGCCAGTACATCAATATCTACATTAACAGCCTGCTTTTATGTTTCAAAGGAGGAAAAATTGACAAAGAAGTTTTACACTCCACAAGATCAATGCATTACTTGCTGTAGGACTGAACAAATGACACCAGTAAACTGGCCACTCCATTTGTCAGCTATATTGAGTTTTTTAGAGATTCCAGTTGACTGTTTCACTATCAGCTACTTCAGAACATAAACAGCCTTTTTCCCCCCACATATTGCTAAACTCTGCATAAAAAACCTTCAGTAAGTGCACTTCTTTGACATTTAATGTAGAGTCCCAAGCCTGCATGGATAAAAGTTGTACTTTGCAGTCATGACTGTCTTGATTGTACAGCCTTAAAATCCCATATTCCATCTTACTATAAGCACATTTGCCTTCATGTAGTGTAAATGCAAGACTAGATGCATTGGAAATTCTTTCCACTTGTTTTGAACAGAGGAAAGAGCACTCTGAATTTTTTTACTTGCTCAGAACCATTAGTAATACCTCTAAATTGAGCTAACAAGCAACTGTGTGAAGAAAAATTTAAGAGACTTCATACAGTCACACTTAGCTTACTTACACAAGACAATTTTAGTGAATTAGTCACTTGCAACTCCAAGCCACATGCCTGAACTAACAATAACTGACAAGCAGATGAAGTTCTGATCTAAGTCACATATATCCTCTGTCCCTGTTAAACAGCATTACTACTGAATGAGATTAAAATGCTAGAGGAACTGACAGGTTTGAACGTTTAAAGACAGCAGCCTCAAATCCAGTTGGGTCTGAACAATGTTGGCTCTAGAGACCAGAGGAGCTGGTTAACTGACAGTATTCCTTCTTACCCACTGTTTGGATTCACATTGTTAAAGAGATTAAAGTAGCTTTTCAGGTCACTATACAGAGAGCAGTTAGTAGTGTCAGGTGGTAGAAAAAGAAACATAAGACTTTGTTACCATAATTTCTGTTCACCCTTTGAAAGGCAGTGACAAAACCTTAAGTGTCTATTTCAAACTATATATGTGCATACCTCAGGTAGTGTTTTTACATTTCAGAAAGATTCTCACGATGATTACAGAAAATATGCATCATTACACAAGCTGATAATACCTCACATCTGCAATCAAAGTAAACTGCTGTAAGCCCATTGTAAGCTCCATTGTTCACCCAATGGAGGATACCTTTTCAGAAATGAAAAAGTAGAACTATTTTGAATGCTGTAATTTTAGTAGTAATTTGCATAAATTAACAACAACACTAACATTCGTTTCAGCTGTTCAGGTAAGCATTAAGATCCAAACTAAACACTGGATGAGCAACGTTAGTGTGTCCTACTGCAGGATTATGTGAAAGTTATTACTCTGAACCTAGCACAGCTACCATAGTTAGAGGATTAGCTTTCAGTTTTCCAGAGCTGAGTTCTGGGTTTGTCTTCAGATAACTAGACTCAACACTTACTTGTTTATGAATTGTTCAAGAGCCTGCTTCCTTTCCTCTATAAAGGAGTCATCAAAGATGCCATCATCTCCTCGGAAGGGGAGTTGACGGAGAAGAGCTTTTCCTGGTAGAGGGGGTACCACAACCTGAAAGATTTAGAAAAGAATACTTAAGTGCAGCCTGTAAGCAAATTTATATACCTCCTGTGCCAGGTCTTCCTCTTAAGGGACCTAACTCATCAATCATGTCCTTAGTGAAGTAATAAAATACAACAAGAGGAGAATAGTATCTGCCAGAGGGGTAAGTTAATTCAAGTAATTCAACTGAATTAACTCAAAGCAATTAAATAGTATCTAATGTTGTACAACTGAGGTTTGCTAAATGACAGTGTTTTAGTTCTGGATATATTCAACCACAATATCTGCTCTATATAATATATATGCTGTAAGCCCATGAAGACTTGTATTTACCTTTCATTTTACCCACCTTGCTTTCTCTTTCTAGTTCATTCCTTAGCCACTCAAAGTCACTGTATCTCCTCCTGACTGTAGATTCTTTCAATTTGAAGATAGGTAGATTTGTCTGAAAACAAGAACATAAGTTATTGATTAGCCAAATTAGAAGTTCTGATAAGCAGAGGCAGGAAACAAGCTGTTAAGTTACAAGTTAGTTCCACTTCAACAACAGTATTGAGAAACACTCAAGATACAGAAATACAGATAAAGCTCTGTAAGCTACACAGTAGCTGCACCTCAAACTGCTTAACTGTGGGCCTCATTTATATAGGATAATAATCACTGGTATTTTGCCACCATATCACCTAGTAGAATAGCAGATTTGCTGGTTACATGAGAACCTCCTAAGGTTGCACAAGTATCTGCTGTTCTTACTGTCTCAGGATCTGGATCAATGTCAATATATGCACAAACTTGGAGGAAAGGGGAAAAAGGAGGAAGGAAAAAAAGTCTTAGTCTATGCTGGCTCCTCTTATTGCATTCAAAAGTGTTTCAGGTACCAGCGCAGGACATTAACCAAGCTTCCTGTACTTCTTTGCTACCTGATACAACATGGTCTTCAACATCTTTAAAAGTAAGCCCATTAAGTCCTACAGTGAATCCATACAGGTCAGATGAAGCTAAAGATTTGCTAGTACAAGCTGCCAAGTTTGAATAGCTCTAAAGAAGCTACCAAGGCTGACAGGGACCACAGCATTCAGTGCCAATAAGAGCACACTGCTTTGCTACGAAGTTAAACCAAGCAGAGATTGATGAGGCAGAACTTTCCTCAACAGTGCTAGGAGTCAGCACCCAAGCCTAACGCTCTTGAAAGAAACAACAAATGGAAGCCAAGCTGTAGTGCTGCACAAGACCATGTTAAATCCATAAGCATTTTGATAGGTGTCCTTTGATAACTTGTGGAAAAGCCTGTATTACTTCTATTCATTCTTGGGGGGGCAGGGGTATCCCACTGCTGTAATCCAGCTTGCAGTTATTTCAGGAGTAGATGTCAAGAGAACACTCTCCTAATGACACCCCCAGAATGGAAAGTGCCAAGATCACAATCTGAAGCTTAGATGCTGTTGAGATGGCAAATTGGCTGGAGTGTTACAAAAATGTTTGTAGGAGTTATGACCTACTAACAGTGAGACCAAGAGTCTGTGCTTGCCATACACAACCAGCACTAGCAGAATAAAGTTTACTGCTGTCAGACCGCATATTCACTGTCTTACAAACCTCAAAAAGAAGACTCTTGAGGAGTACCTTAGGAACCTGATGTTCACACAGGACTACAGTTATCCTCAGTTTTCCTGTTGGCAGAAGCACAGCAGTCATTCCCAGCTAACGCCTTCTGGTTTTTGTTATTGTATTTTATAAGTTGTAAGCCACCTCACTCAGCTTCTGGTCTCAGTTTGAGTGGATATCCCTGTATGATATCCTTTATAGGCTTTTATGCTTAAGCTATCATTGAGTGATAATTTCAGCTGCTCAAAACAGGTTTAATTGCAGAGATACTTTGCTACACTAGGCAGCCCTATGACTACAGGACATTGCATACCTACCAGCCAATGATTTTTTGGCTGTCACAGTTCAAAAGTACTTGAGAAGTTAGTTGTGTACTTTCACATAATGCTATTTTTTATCTGTAAATTATGGGCTAAAGTACAGAACACTATTTTGTTATGAAATCTCCTATTGCTAAATGTTTAAAAATTATTCAAGCTCTCTTTCCCAGGTAAAACATTGTTGATTGTACTAGTGACTAATAATAAAATTGCACTTAAGGCTATTATGTCACAAGTCAGGCTTTATTTATAAACACTCTCATCTTGAGGATAAGAATACTCTACTCAAGAGTGAATAAAGCGAGGTCCCCCACAGTGCATGAAAGAGTGAAGTACTGGATTATTTTTCTCTGATTTCAGCTACTGGCTTTTTAACCAAGTTCAGCCTTCCACATTACAACATCAACTCTTTGTCAGTGTCTCGGGTGGAAAGTCCTTTACAATATTTAACATATAGGCCTTCACCTGCAGAAAATATTCCGTTCTCCTCTCAAGTTACTTACAAGAGGGATTAGAACTGAATAAAAGCAGCTAAAACCCAATGAGTTCCCAGGTCTTCAGGAACTCTTTTCATGCTTCTGGGCATGAAGTCTATAGAGTTAATCTCTAAACAACATATCAGGCTTACAGGTACAATGTGGGGTAGAAGTGCCAATTGAGCTCATTTTACCTTCTGCATTCCCTTTTGAACTTTTGACACGCTAACCCAGCTAGCAAGTTGGGAAAAAGGAGAATGAAAGTACTTGTTTTCCCTTCGAGTTGATGCGTGTCCCACTGCCTCCATCTACCATGGGTAGATGGTTTTCATTAAGCAAGCCAGAGAGCTGCTGAAGCATGGCCTATCATTGGGAAAGAACCTGGTAGGAGATAACAGAAACTTTCAATTTCTATTGAAGTGTCACTTGAAGATCACACAGCATACCAAAGGTATTCTCAGCTTCACAGTTTATGTTGAAAGTTATCCTTGTTTAGTCACTGAGGTGCCAGTAGCATTCTCAACACTGTTAGTGCTTTGTTTGCCTCCTGGAACATAGATGAGATTAAGGCATAAAACTTGAAGTCAGGCTAGTTTCATTTTTACATTTTTACTTTCTCTCCATGCTTATTCAGCATTATAGTATCATTTTTCTGGCCTGCTGATCTGCTAAATCTTCTGTCACGAAACTCAATGACCCAGTTTGGCACAGCCCCTGGAGCATAGCTCATTCCTTCGATAAATTCAACATAATCACTATACCAATTGTTCCTTCTATAGTGTAATAATTAGTTTCATTTTTATTGAAAGCATTTTCAACAACTTCAGGCGTCTTGAAATCGTGCTTCCAGCAGTTTGAATGCAAGTCCTCAACCTGAAAGAATTATACATTACCTAAGACATTAGAAAACCAAAAGTCACTAGCCAGACTTGCAGAAAAAGCATTATTTCAGGACCAGTAAACCAACTCTGCAGAAGCCACACATAGCCCAAAATCTTAAGCATAAAAAGATGCAAAGACAGATTCTGACTAGATACTCTAGATTCTATATTGGACTATATGTATACAACCATTAGGCTTTCTTTGACTACTGTCAAACTAATCTTCCGTATTCTGCTGGGGGAGTTAACGGCCAAGCCAGTACACTGGAATAAACGTTCTCAGAACTGGTGCCAAGTTAAATTACATAGTTAAACAGCAGATGACAAACCCAGACTTAAGTCACTCCTGCATTCCTCCACTCAGATGCCAAATGAGTTTCTACAGTCATTTGGCTAGTGTTCAACAAACTGGTAACGGGAAGCAGTGGTTACCTGCTAATAGATTTCAGGGCAAAAATCTGTATTCACAAAAAGCACGTTTCTTCAGCTACATTTATGTTACTATAAGTAAGTACATTTATGTTACTACAAGTTCAACTCCAAGCTCAGTAGCTTGAATAACCAGATAACAGTCTTCCAGCTGTTACTATAATAAACCCCTGAGCTATGCTCAGTTATATACATAAATGATTTCTGGAGTTCTAAGTGAGGAGACTTTCACAGGCAGGACGCACATAGCTCGAGTACTAGTCAATACTGTTCATTCAGCTTCAGATACACAGCTCTCCAATGCAGCCATTCTAGTATACAAGTAACCTTAAATGCAGGAGGAAAACCAAAATACTTTACTTATATTCGAAGTAATTTTCAGTGTTCTGTTATCTAAAGTGGATTAATTTATCCAGTGAGTTGAAAAAACCTTGCAAATAGCCAGACTTGCTCCTACAAATTTGTTTCCATACATAAATTGAATGCAAATAGCATTTGGGTTCCTTCAAAGATCATGCTGACACTCCACAAGATTGACTCTAAATGTCACTGCAGCCCAGTCCACCCCCACAACTGCAGAAACTCCACAGCTGTAGCTGCCCAGGTTAGTTTGAGGTAAATTTGATTAATTTTCTCATCTGCCAGTGTAACGCTCATCATCAGCACTGCATTGCCCATGTCTTCCACTCCTTAACAGACTGAGAATAAAGCTGCACTGTTGCCATAGCACCTACTTTGATGTTGTCTTTTCAAGTAGGTTATGGTAGCCTTGATACAACTCTATTTCCATTAAAATAGAGTGAAAGAAAGCACTCGGCTCACTTTTGATAGAAGTTTGTGGCCTTGACTCTCATAAGCTAAATTCAAGCTTCTTACTATCTCTTCATAGAAGCTGTAATCTTTGTCAAGAGACTACACCCTTTGGCTACATTTACAGTCAGCCAATGGGAGCTCAAGGGTATTACAGTAAGTAGCATTCAGGGTAGATAAAGTATTATAGTTTTCTTAATGCAAGAGCCTGCTGTCCTTTAGTACAAGGAACTGGCTCCAGCAGTCCACTGTTATTACAGAATCCTTGCCAGTGGTTTGTTTCCTTCCCGACTTGACACCACCAGCTACCTCCCCATTTCCTACAATTATAAAAAGCAAGAAAGAAGGCAAACATGCTCTAAACCTCAGTTGCTAAAAGTTTAGATTTTAGCTGTGTATGTTACTGAAGGAAAACCTCTTTCCCCACCACAAAAGGTCAGATAAGAGGTTGTTATTTTTATAAGCTTCAGTCCTTTTGATCAAAGCGGAGTCCTACCTCCCCTTTTATCCTCTTGGTGTCCAGGTCTACTGAAAGTAATTACATGCATGAAGTCTAAAGTTTTAATAGAATACTGAAAAAATCTGACCATATGTGTACACCCAAGTTTTAAAGAATGCTGACTTAAGCTAAACCAAGAACTATAGAACTTCCCACTCCACAATACTGAGACATGGATCTAGGATCCTGATAGCAACAAAACCACAAGGACTAACAGTCTTTAGACAAGAGTTAACCTTCATCAAGTCCAATGCCTTGAGCTGTTCTGCAAAAATTAGCATAGGGCCATCTGGGTTTTTGCCAAGCAGCATCTATCACCACCAAGTTCAAATTCACCAGCATCATGAACACCTGAATTATGCTGTGCTACGGTCAAAAGGCTCAAAGCAAGGTAAGTCTAAAAAAAACAGATTGATAAGCAATGC